TGGAGTTCTCCCGTTCTCCTTGATCGGTAAACTTGGTCTTGGCTTGCTGGCTGTTCGTGCTGATCTTCTGGGGGAGGGCCTGTTGTGGTGGATCCCAAATGTCTTTGCCGGAGGCAGAATTGCCCTGCTCTTGTCAGTCTGGCCTAAGCAATCTGCCCGGGTTTGCTCTCGGGAGCTTTTGTTCCCTGCAAGCTTTCCGTACAGCTTTGGAGAATGAGAGTAAAGATGGTGGCCTCCCACTCTCCGCCCAGAGGAGCCACGTACTCGGGGCCCCGCTCCTCAGTGCGCCTCCAGAGAAAAGCAGTCAGTCACTCCCCTGTCCCCGGTCTCCGGCCGTACTCTGTGCTCACCCGGCCTGTGACCGAGTGTTTCTATCTCTGGCACCTGACCCCGTGTGGAGTCTCCAATCCCAGCAGATCCCTGCAGTGCGCTCCCGCACCGCTCCTTATGGGGGAGGAAGGGGAGTCTCCCCAGATCTGTCGCTTGTTGGGTCCCTGCTGGAGGAGCAGTGGCCCGACTGGGCCGCGGATCACAGTTCATGGCAACCCCGACCTGAGAGCCCGCGCCTCGGCTCCGTCTCTGCAGCCGGCTTCCCCGCTCCGATACCTGGGAGCTCTGCCGCACTCGGGCACCCCTGGTCTTTCTGTGACCCCGAGGGTCCTGAGACCACACTGTCCCGCGAGGGTTCTTCCCCCTGTTTAGGCACTGGAGCAACGTCCCTCAGCGGAGCCGACTTCTAAAAGTTCTGATTTTGTGCTCCGCGGCTCTAGCACTTGCCAGAAGCGGCCGACGGAGGCCCCCTCCCCCGCCGTCTATCCTCCCGAATATCGCCTCGGATTCACTTCTCCGCACGTCCTCCCTTCCAGAACGTGGTCACTTTTCTGTTCAGAGAGTTGTTGCTATTCTTCTCTTCGATCTCCTGTTGAGTTCGTAGGTGTTCAGAATGGTTTGATCCCTATTCAGCTGAATTCCTGAGACCAGACGAAATCCAGGGCTCCTACTCCTCCGCCATCTTGCCCCACCCTCTTTGAATATTCTCATAGCAGAGTATATGCTTGGTTATTTCAGTTTTCCTCTTTTGACTCATGTGGGCTTGGTGACAGCTTTCCTTAGGGAGTGGCAGGCACCACCTGGCTGGGAGTCCTACATGTTGGTGTCTCTAGCCCCATGGTGCCCAGATTTGAGCTGCTCACCACATGTCACGGCAGAAGCCAGCTTTTAGTGGAAGTGTTTAGTCAGAGAGGCCCCTGGTATTTTGGGGGCTCCAATCAACAATAATTCACAGTTCCTTCCTTCTGTATTTAAATAAATGTTCAAAGATATCATCATCTTTAACAAATTGATACCTAACATTTTCCCCTGAAGTATTTCCTTACTTGCCCATAAGAATTCATTTGCTTCCTTTCGGTTTTTCACAGAAGCTCTTAACGTTTTGCTGTGTATTTGCATCATAGAATTATGGACCTTCAGGGCAGAGTCAGCTTTGATAGTTTTCTACTTGCAAGAGAAGTTAATATTATTCATTCATTCCTTGAGTCACCCCACAAAGAGTTGTGTTTACTGAGATAGAACAGACATGGTCCTGGTTTTCATGAAGCTTATGATTCCATGGGGATCATAGACAATAAACGAGGAAATTGATAAAAAATCTGAATTTCAGTTAGTGGTATAAAGAACAGAAAACTGGGTTAGAGAATGGGGAGTGATGGGCTTGGGTCGGCTGTTATTGAGAGGGTGCTCAGAGCTTCACTGGGAAGGTGGTGGAGTTGACTGGCTGTGTGGGTGCTAGCTTCATAAGTAAAGAAGCCTCTGATTTTCAGGGTCTTTCAGAGGAAGAGAGTACTCACAGCGTCAGATGCTCCTGAGAGTGTCCGGAAGATGAGGATGGAGAAGTAACCATTATAGTGGCAACAGGAGTAACTTCTTGAGGGGTTATTTACACTGGTGGGTTGGGCAAAAGCCTAGTGGGGTTCATTGAGGAGGGAATGATGAGGTGGAGACAGGGAACCTCAATAAATCTAGAAAGACTTTTCCTCTAAGGGAGAGCTGAAAAACGGGGAGCTGGAAGGAGAAATGGGGTCACAAGCATTTCTTGTTTCTTTCAGGACGAGCAATATTTTAGAGACGTTTTTATGTTGATGAGAATGATCTAGTACAGAGGTTGATTACCTACAGTTTATGGGCCAAATCCAGCCTACCTGCTTTTGTCAATATAATGTTATCAAACACAGCCACTTGAATTTGTTTATGGTCTGTGACTGCTTTTGCATTACAGTGGCACAGCTGAGTCATTGTGAAAGAGACCACATGGCTTACAAAGCTAGAAGTATTTACTTCTGATCCTTTTCTAGAAAAGTTGCCCAACTCTTGATCTTGGAGGAAGGGTAAAACCGATGAAGCAAGAGGGCAAGGAGTGGTTTGCTAGACAGACATCTTGTCCCCTAGGGGGTGTCCCCTGCAGTATTACCTAAGGGAGAAGTGTAGGAACCCTTGCACGCATAGAGGGACCATCAAACTGTGAAGTTAGTAAGTGGTTTTCTGCCTTTGGGAAGCTTGCAGTGAGACTTTTGAAGTACAGATTGCCATTAGTGGTCCTAAACCTGTAGAAACAGGGTGTGTGAGGATGGGATAAGAAAAGTGTTTGGAAACCATGAGGTCAATGAATTGTGAGGTGAAGGTATTGCATTTCTATTTAGATAATTGGAAACTAGATTATATATTTCCATTTATAGAATATTTATGAAAACAATACCAGCACTGTAATAAAGACTTGTTTATGTGTTTCTATTTGGGGCTCTTGTCATTTGTTACTATCCTTTGTTTCCTCCTTTAAGACAGATAGTAAAAATGGTATTGTGGTCACTGAAAAATGGTGATCATTATTGTGGTGAGCATTATTTTAATGAGTTCCTCTTTTCATACTTGCCTTTAAAAATAATTAGATAATAATTATTTTCCCTGTAGAAAAAAGTATTACGTTTTTCTTAATAAACCCTTTAAGCCTGTTCGGAATTACTGTTTATTTTTAGCCCTTTCAGATAGGACAGAGGGACTCATCTTTTTGGGGGTCTCAGTCCTCTCTGGAACCCTTCTTAGAGAGGTAGGTGTTACCCTGGGTATTGTAGGCTTCAGGAGCAGTGGTTTTTATAAGTTAAGGGTTGTATAGATTATTGGAGCATTCCTACATATTCTCTTTGAACTCCTGCTTAAAGTGAGTGTCATCCAGGTTCCTTGCTACATATACATACCCAGAATGTGGGTTACATCTCAGGTGTACCAAGCCCTTGGCCATATTTTATCACCTGCTCATTATTTGCTCAGATTTACGCCTCGGGGGCCAGACTTTGGGGCTGTGATTCTCCACGTGTTTCCTAGCGAAGCTGGCTGGAGCCCTGGACGAGCAGGCAGTGCATGCAGCCCACACGTCCCTAATCATCTTCTCCTCAGTTCCTCACTGTCAACAGCCCTAGGCTTGCTGGACCTCCAGACAAAGCCGGAGACTGTTCTGCAGACTCTGTGGCCATCACGGAGGTGCACGGCAGCAATGTGACAATCATAGTGCTCAAATACCATCGTTCCCTGAAGGCAGGAGGTCTGGCCTGGGCTGTCAGAGCGTGAGGTAAATGCCAGGGCTAGATCACACACCTGCGCCATTAAGTGTTGGGCCCGGTTTGGCAGCAGGCTCTTCAGTTGCCTTGGAATTACCTAGAAGTGACTTGAGTTGTTTAGAGCAACCTTTCTATGGGGTTTGTGCAGACATTGTGGTGTGCGTTCATGCGCAGTGGGCTTTTCCGGCTAATTCAGTGGGGAGGTGAAAGGTCTGGCTGGTGTGCCAGCAGAAATGATGGTGCAGGGTGGGAGTCGCAGGGCCCGCGCGGAGATGGCTGTTATGGTGGCGTTGCGAAAACCCGGACCGTCACAAGCTCTCAAGGCCATTAGCCACCGAAACATGGATACCCTTCAGGGCAGTACTTGGCTTCTCATGTACACGTTGGGTGTGGCATCAAAGCAATCGACTTTATTTTCTGCCACTGTAAACAGGTTTCCATTTCTGCATCCAGCCAGCATAGGCATCATTATCTTTAGGATTTAAAAGGAATGGTCTTTAAATTACTTATCTGTTTAACATCAGATGAACATCTTTATTTTATCGCTTCATTAAGAAATGTGTAGAGATGACAGTTGAGCCAGTTGCCTTGGACTAGAATATTAATGTCAGGTAGGTTTATTTTGACTGATATATTTATTTATCTTTGCTTTGTGGGAGTTTCCAACTTTCCTTAATGACTTCTTTGAATTTTGACTCATCAGTTAATGCCATTTGGTTATTTTGTACCTGTAAAACAGATTTATTTTGGTTCTGATGGTGTTAAAATGTGCAACACTGAAAACAGTGGCAAAGGGCAAAAATACCATTGTATTGCTGTAAAGCATTTCTATGGTGCTCTTACATTTTGTCTTTATATGGTTATTGGGTCTCTTTTTGAATTATACAGTTAATTTACAAGCCTTTATTTGTTTGGTTATTACAGCCAGAAAAACCATCGTGGCATTCTAGCATAGAAATAATAGCTAAAGAAAGTCTCCTGGTATGATCAGTGTACCTTCTAAAGTCTGAAGGAATAAATCCTTTGGTACTATTTGGCTGATTTTAGCATCAGAGTTCTGTTTTAATGTTTGCACTCTCTTTTGGTGATTTTGCAAGGTAATTTACCATTTTAGAAATAGTACGGTATGTGTGCTACAGACTCATTTTTGTTGTTGTTTATCTACTCTTGATAAAGCCATGCATTATCTGTGAATATATTGAGTACACCTGTCGCTGTCAACTCCATAGAACAAAGCGAAGCCCAACTGAATGGAATGTAACATGAGGCATAAAGCACAGACTCTCAACACCAAATCCTCCTCCTTATCAAGTCTTCTAATTTGATGTGATGACAGTTATTGGTCAGAATATATTACAGTGTTTGCTGTACAGAAGGGGCCTTTGTGATATAATTAAAGAGCACGAGAGCTGCCAGACTAAACAGTGGTCTGAGTTTCAAATGTTCTGTGACTTTCCTGGCACAGTTTTATTACCATCTTGAGCATGTGTTATCACTTAGGATTCTTTGCCATAGAGTATTACATAGGAAAAACACTCCAGGCAGTGAAGGAGACTAACCATGACTCTTCAATGAGGTAAATGCCTCTGAGACACCTCATATCCTCAAAATGTACCATTTTGTGTGTGTGCATTTCTTCTGTCTGCTTGAAGTCATAAACCCAGCTTACCCAACTGTTACAATGTAAACAAAATGGTCAGCTTTTAGGGACAGACTTCATTAGTTGTTTTGAAATTCTAAAGTAGGGTAGCCCAAAGGGAAAATGGATAAAGGGCATGAGAAGGGCGTTCCTAACAATAAATATGAAAAAGAGTAACCCTAAATTAGTAATCAAGAAAATTCCGTTAAGATAATAAAAAGTCAAATTGGCAGAGTTTTTTTTTTTTCTTTTAACAGCTCTGGTTGAGAGTCTAATGAAACTTGCACTTTCATACATTAGTACATCTTTTGTGACATGCAGACTGTCAGTATGTGTTAAACCTTAAATGTCCTTTGATTACACTTCTAGGAACATATCTTAAGAAAATAGTAAAAGATATACACAAATATTTGTATACAAGAATGTCCATTAATACATTATTTAAAACAACAGTGAAAGTTGGGGCACCTGGGTCGCTCAGTCTTTTAAGCATCTGACTGTTGATTTCAGCCCAGGTCATGGTCTCAGGGTCATGGGGTCGAGCCCCATGGTCAGCCCCCCGTCAGGCTCCGTGCTAGGCATGGAGCCTGCTTAAAATTCTCTCTCTCCTTCTCCCTCTGTCCCTCCCCTCCCCGCTCACTCTTGGGCTCTCTCCCTCTCTCTCTCTAATAAAACAACAACAACAAAAGTAAAGATAGCTAGTATCTGTCTTCAAAGAGAGCTGCTTATGTTCCAGACAGTGCTGGATGCTTCATGTGCACAACTGTATTTACTCTTCAGCTTCACAAAATGAAGTAGGCAGTGGTATTACATACAAAGAAAATAAGCTTGGAGTTGATGTACTTACTCAGGAACACAGAGCTAGGACTGTTGAGTGAGGATTTAAACTCCTTTGAAATGATCCCTTAACCACTACGTTTGGGGTTTTTTCCCCTAGTGAATACTAGTAAAGAGTGGAAAACAAGGATCCATCCATAGAGGATTAGCTAAATACCTGGTAGGTTAGAAAACTATGAAGGTACAAGAAGTCATATTTTAAATGAATATTAAATGACATGGGAAAATGTTTTTAATAAGCCCCAATATATGTGGTATGAGTTGACCATTTTCTCCTACTCCCTATTTGGATGTAATCTACTTTCAATCAGGCAGATTCCCGTTCTTATCCCAGATCCATTCCTGGCTTGTGAGTGACTGCGAGAAAATTGCTCACCAGCCTATGCTTCGGCGTCTTCCTCTGTAAGTGTCATTGGACATTAAATGAGGCGTGGCCATGCAAGGGACAGAGTACATACACAAGAAATGGTAGCTGTGATTTTCCAGGTGAGGTGGATCCTATGCCTTGTATGAATAGAGAAAGACAAGTAAATAAAGCATTAGAACTTATTAATGATTTTCTTATAGCACTGGGATTGCATTATTTTCTTTGTAATGTTTTTCTATTTTTCCCAAAGGTAACAGTCAATAAAATACTATATTTTATGCTTCTGTATTTCTAGATCTTATATAAATAATTTTATATAAATAGGTCTATAAAATGAAGATTTTTTCCCCGTCCATTCTAATTTGATTTGTGGGAGGTTGTAAACTAATACCATGCTCTGTGTTAGTGCAGTTTTATAATAAGTGTTGGTAACTGGTAGAGTATATCCTCCTACCTTGTTCTTTCGTCATTTGTTTATTTATATTCAGTTTATTTAAACTATAAGAAAAAAATCAAAACAGTTCACACATTTCTTCCATACCCACCCAGCCCTCGCCTCTGGCAACTACCAGTCTTTCCTCTGTATCTGTGAGCTTGGTTTTGTTTGGTTTGTTGATTTGTTTTGTTTAGATTCTACATTTAAGTGAGATCATATATTAATTGTCTTTGCCTTATTTCACTTACCGTAATGCCTTTTAGGTTCATCCATCTTGTTGGAAATGGGAGGATTTTAATTTTTTTTAAATGGCTGCATAATATAGCGCTGTGTATGTACATACACCACATCTTCTTTATCCATTCACTCATTGTTGGACACTTGGGCTGCTTCTATATCTTGGCTTTTGTAAAGAATGCTGCAGTGAACATGAGGGTGCATATATCTTTTAAAATTAATGCTTTTGTTTTCTTTGGATAAATACCCATAAGTGGAATTGTTGAATCATATGATAGTCCTATTTTTAATTTTCAAGGAACCTCTATATTATTTTCCACAATGGCTGTACCAATTTATATTCTGATCAACAGACTCTATGGTCAACTAATCTTTGACAAAGCAGGAAAGAATGTCCAATGGAAAAAAGACAGTCTCTTCAACAAATGGTGTTGGGAAAATTGGACA